GTGTGTGTCCCGAGACCTTCTGGCCTCACTGCCTGGATCCAGGCAAATCCAAACTGTGGTGCCTGAGGGCCTGTCCGAACGTGTGTGCCCACAGACGGCGAAGCAGCGTCACTTCCGAGGACACAGCATTGAACCGGGAGCACAGCTGGTGTCCTCGGATGTGCGGTCCTTGTCCTCAGACTCAAGGGCCTTGTCCTCAGACGTAAGGTCAGAGATCTGGGCTCCTCTTTGACACGTCTTCTCGGACAGTCTCGCCCGGTTAGGTGAGAGCTGGGGCTGCAGCCCCAAAGGGCATGGCTGCAGAGGGCGACACAGCCAGGTCGCGAGAGCTCTTACGTGCTGGATGAGCGGGAGCGGACCTGAAAGCAAGGGACACCCCTGGGGCTTTGTAAGCAGGGGATGAAAGAAAGCAGAGGGTGGCACAAACGAGTGGCAGCCGTGTCATCTGAGTGGGGACCCAGTGTCCCCGGAGTGGCGAGAAGTGAGATACTGTTGTGGCATCTACTGTCTGGACATCCACTGCGGAAGGAAAGACCCTGCACCCACCGTTGGAGCCAGAGTGTAGCCACATGGTCACAAAGCCCGAACGTGTCCGCTTGGCATCCCTGCATCCCCTGGGCCCTCTGCCCACCCAGCCGTCTGGCCCTCTTCAAGGACCTTCAGAGGCAGTGACGTGACCCATTCACCACCTGACTTGCTAGAAGAGCGTGTGCCTCTCTGCATCGCAGCGGCTACTTCTCCCGTTTTTTTTAATCCGGGACAGATCTCAGTCTCACCATCAGCAGCCTGCAAGCACAGCTTCTTCTGTTTCCAGGCCCTGACTCCCATTTTGCCTTCATCGCAGCGGCCTGGCAGACGCCCTACCGTGAGGGAGCCTGAGGCGCTTGCTCCCTCCGGCATGCCTTCCACTTCCTGCCTCCATTCCTGTGCCCAGCCCGTCCCCTCTGTCTACAGCGTCCCCTCCCCTGGTGCTGACACACAGTCCACCTGTTCTCAAGTTCCAGCCCAACTGTCATCCAGCCTGTCTCGTACCTTTCAGGCCAAAGGACGTCTCCCTCCTAATCATCGCTGCCCCTCATCCACTCTTGTGCTACCTTCAAACACAGTTGCTTGACCGCTACGACCGATGTGAGATTCTGCTAGCTGCTGGGTATGTCTGTCCCAGCTACACATTTCGGAACTGGGGAAATGACCACAGGTTGGCTTCAGGGGACCCACTGGACCCACTGTGAGATGGACTGAGCTGAGACTCCACCGACTGACTTCCATAATCCCTGCTCTGACTGGGGACCTAAGTGTTATTCTGGGTCTCTTGGAATTGATGCCAGAGCCAGTGTTCCTTAATCCCAGGAAAGTCTGATTATTCCCTTTTTCCCAATGCACAGTCACTCTGGTAACAGGCCACAGGCCCCTTTGGGGAAGGCTGGGAGAAAGACTAACAGTATACATCTCTGGTCAGGATGGAGTCTGGATCTGCAAACTCTATCAAACCTGGGAATGGATTATTTTCGCTATCATAACTTGTCGTTGCCTTTTGTTTATGCACAGAGATCATCATGAGACCTAGCTGTGCTACCGGATGGTTTTACCATAGGTCTAATTGCTACGGATACTTCCGGAAGCTGAGGAGCTGGTCGGATGCCGAGGTAAGACATCTGCTGTGTGCTTGGATGGGCTTCTCTCCAACAAGGGGCCAGCCCGGTCCCAGATCGCATTTGACTCCGGAACGAGGGCCCTTCCTCGGCGTTCTGAGGAGAAGACCCCTGGCTGGTGAAATGAAGAGGGTTGTGGGTTCAACTCATGCAGTGTTGTAAGCATCGAATAAGCGGGCACAACATGCCCAGACCCTCATGGGCTGCGCGCACGTAAGGATGAATAAGAAGCAGCCCTGGCCTTCAACAAATCACTGTCAGTCAAGAGGACAGAGATCTATAAATCAAAAGAGGGTGAGGAGAAGAGGCGCTTACCAGAAGAACAACTGAGTCCCGTCCCAGATCAATCAGAAACAAGAGTGGCCTGTAGACAGGCCTGGAACAGACGCCTCAGAGGCACCAGCAGGAGGTGGCGCAGTCCCAAGAGGGACGGTTCCCTCGCCCTGCGTAGCCCATGGTATATTGACTGCATTTCACTGAATCTTTGTCTAAAGGACAGCCAGATAGATAGTCAAAGTGAGTTGCCTCAGCCGGGTGGGGGATAACAACGGCTGGGCACGGTGGCTCAAGCCCGCAATCCCAGCTACCCTGAGAAGCTGAGGCTGAAGGATCGCCTGAGCCCAGGATTTTGATACCAGCCTAGGCAGCATAGCGAGACCTCACCGCTACCCAAAAAAAGTAGCCAGGCGTGGCGGTGCATGCTGGAGTCCCAGCTACTCCAGGAGGCTGAGGGGAATGGGCACTGCCATCGTTCTGAACTGAGGCCATTTAACGCGAGGGCCTGGCTGGGGGAGCCACACGGGCACTGTGTGGCATGATCTCGGCCCAGACGGCTTCAAAACCCTTGTAGACAGACTCAACGACGGAAAGAGAAAGACAGAAGGCAGGGATGGAGCACCTACCTCGTGACAGCGACCGCAAGCCTCTCCGACCTGGGAAAGCCCACGATTAAGCAAGATGGTGACATTTCAACAGATCGCGCCAATACAGTGTGAGCATAAATGATTTCCCCAAGATTACAGTGAGAGTAGCAAACACAGCAAAGCAGACTCAGCAAAGTCTGAGCTCAGTCCTGAATAATTGACCAGTGAGAGAGAGAGGAAGGGAGGGGGAGGGAGAGAGCATGCTAGGAAAGAAGTTCCCAGTCTCTCCAGGCAGGAAAAGAAAAACGAGCTCAGGAGAGCTGTGGACCTTCCCCTCAGCTCTTAGAAAGGGAAGTAACTCAGCCGGGCTCGGTGGCTCAGCCTGTAATCCCGCGCTTTGGGAGGCTGAGGTGAGTGGATGGCCTGAGCCCACGGGTTCGAGACCCGCCTGGGCAGGTGAGACCTCATCTCTACAATAAATCAAAAAATTAGGGGGCATGGTAGTGTGTGCCTGTAGTTCCAGCTATTTGGAAGACGGAGGCGGAAGGATCGCCGGAGCCCAGCAGGTCGAGGCTGCGGTGGCCGGGAGCAGCCACTGCACTCCAGTCTGGGCGACTGAGTGAGACTCCAACTCAAAAAAAAAAAAAAAAAAAAAAAAGAAAGGGAAGTAACTCGATGAATCTTGAAAAGACATCAGTACTGCCTGTCACAGAGGTGCCAGTGCTAGTTCTGTGAAAACAAAGAGCAAGATATTTGGAGAACAGTGGCATAATATAGACCTGAGTTTGTCACAGCTCGGCCACTCATTAGGTGCTGCTATAGCTCACCTTACCTGTTTCTTGACTATTAAATGGGATAACGGCTGGGCACGGTGGCTCAAACTTGGAATCCCAGCTATTCTGGGAGGCTGAGCCCAGGAGTTCGAGACCAGCCTAGGCAACATAGAGAGATCTCGCCTCTACCAAAAAAAAAAAAATTAGCCAGGTGTGATGGTGTATGCTGGAGTCCCAACTACTCCAGGAGGCTGAGGTGGAAGGATCACCTGAGCCCAGAAGGTCAAGGCTGCGGTGAGCCATAGTCATGACATTGCACTCCAGCCTGGGCGACGGGGTAAGATCTTGACCCCCACACACACCAAAAAAATAAAAGAGAGAGAGATGATGCTTTTTACCTCATTGGGTTGTCGGGTGGATGCATTGAAACAACTTGCACAAAGCCTATGGTAGAGGGTAGATGCTCAGTTCACTCAAAGCAAGACCCTTCCACAGGATTGACGTGGAACCTTAGCAGACTTAACAGCCCCAGGACCAGGGTGCAGTGACAGGACAGGAAGGCCAAAGCAGGCCTGAATGGGGCCGCCTCGGGCTGACCGGTTCCTTGTCAACATTGCTGGCCACCCTTGGCTCTTGGGACTCCCTCTGCTGGAGGGAGCGGTGAGACGCACATATACATCCCATCTCGTGCTTGAGAGGCAGAAGTCTGAGCCCTACTTACAGCTCCGTTACTGCCGGCTATGAGAACCGGGAAGAAAGACATCACCTAAATACTCCAAGCCGGTTCCCCTTCTATCCCAGGAATCTTTTGTAGCTGGTACACAGTGGGCACTCAGTAAATGCTGACTGGTAATCTAGTTTGCAAGCTGCACAAACCTGAGAATAAGATAGAATTGCAGCTATAGAAGTATGTTGGTGTTATAAAGAGATATGCAAGTGTGAGGACTAAAATACGATTAAATAGTTACCACATCTAATCTTGGGCAAAATAGTAAAAGCAAGAATGAGAACATTAAAAGCCTAAGCAACCACAGCCCAAACTATGTTTTTATTAAATCAATTCAATTTCTTAGATCCTGGAACACAACCCCAGAGGAATGTTAAAAAAATACACACACATATTTTTGCCTTGTTTAACTGAACAATGGATTTCTGGTTATAGAACAAGAATTAATCGTGTCACATGTTCCATACAATCCTTAAAACAATGGGACATTATCATATATTAATCCATAAAAAGTCAGATTGCATGCCCTTGGATGTGAAAGAATTTATGTAGAGGAAGAAGGAAAAAATTTTGCTCAGTATAAAGACATACAGGAATACAAACAGATTAGAGATTAGAGTTGAAAGCTTTCAAAGTTGCAACAGAGCAAAGAGTTACATAGTAGCCTCTAGAAGCCCGCGAATCCAGCCAGACTCACTGGTGTGGTCACTGTTGAAGAAAGGCAGATGAATAGGCACATTGATCTTCAGCCAGCGGGGATTCCAGACCAGCAAGTGGGAGTCCCCGCTCCTCTGGAGGACATCTCCAGATGTTTAGGCAAGTCATCCTGTATTCATTCGGTAGCTGTCGCAAATAAGTTACCGACCACTGTTTTCAGCTTACAATGTGTTCTTCGTGTGTGCTATAGGGTGATAATAATTTAAAGTTAAGAAGGCAGAGGCTGGGCTCGAAAGACCTGGGCTCTCTCCCCGTGCTGGGCAGCCCTTTCCTGATGCCCTTCTCCCCATCTGCAAACCAAAGGCAGCTCCTCCTTCCGAAGACAGTCAGGATTAGATGAGACGGCACATGGGAGGCGCCCGGTCCATGGGCAGGGTCCCATGAAGAGCACCACCGTGGGATCTGTTCTGTGATGCACATTGTGCTCACATTCTAACACCTCCAAAATCAGGTGTGTGCTACAAACAGCAGCGTGCTGTAGGTTTGGTGGCAGTGATATTTTTTTCTTTCTTGATAAGACCTAAAATCATGGCACATTTCACAGCCAGTGGTTTCTGAGATTAGTTGGAATGCAGAATTATAATTCATTTAGTCCTCATGACAACTCCCAGGTAGCTGTCGCTGCTTTCCAGATGAGGAAGCCGGGCCTCAGAGAAGTGACCTGACTTGTCAAGGTCACGTACACTACTGAGAGGCAAGGCAGGGCCCCAGGCGCTTCTGAGGCCAAATCTCTTGGGCTGCCTCTTCCTCTGCAACCTGACACTGTGGCCATTGTGTTTTCTCCCAGGATGGCAGGAAGTCTTCAGTGGGTCACAACTTCTGGAGGGTTGGGGCTGTGTGCCTCCGTTCTGCTTGGTACACTAAGGTTCTGAGGAGAGAGCTGTTCTTTAGACCTCTGCGTCATTAATGGGACCTCTCCTTGCATGTAGCTCAAGTGTCAGTCTTATGGAAACGGAGCTCACTTGGTGTCTGTCCTGAATACAAAGGAAGCCAGCACCATAGCAGAGTACATAAGTGGCTATCAGAGAAACCAGCCCATATGCATTGGCCTGCATGACCCACAGAAGGTAACTTCAGGCTTGGCCCACAAATGCCGGCTTGGGAAAGCCTGGTTGACAGCCCCTTTCTGGCAAATGGCCTCCTAGCCTCTTAACTAGGGCACAGGCGGTAGGTCCTCTTCAGCCATGCGCCTCCATGGATAAAGACTAAGCCCTCGAGGTCAGGGACCCGGTTCCTATTAAGGAGGATATCTTTTAAACGGCACCATTTTATAGACCCTCTATCTAATTGAGGTCCGCCTGAATCGTAGAACACAAAACTACCAGCTTTCCAGAGCCTTCAAAAAAAAAGTACGCGTAAGTGTATTGTGTGGGTGGCACACACAGATCTGTCATGAGACTCAGATTAATTAGATCCCCATTGGTTCTTGAGTTAAAGTTGAAAACTTCCAGCTAAACTTGTTCTCAGATGCTTTTGTGTTGTTTATGTTATCTTTAATTTTTTTCCCACTGGACTCTTGCTGTTCTTTCTGTGAATACCTCATTATAAGGAACGTCTGGTTGCTGAGGCCTAGACGGGGATCTGCAGTTAATAGATTCTACAGTTGACACAAACAAACATAGTGAACATAAGGAGAGAACTCCCATACATTCTGTTTCTTGATAAAACTGCTGATGATACCACACTTCATAGACTCACTTTCACGAATGTGTGTATTTGTCTATAAAATCTTCATGGTTTTTTCTTCTTGAACATCATGTTATGGAAAAACTAATAGTCCCTTGCCATAGTTGTTGCAAATATTTTGTACAATCACTTAGCTTCTAATGGTGTTTATTTAACCATCAGAAATTTTTTATTTTTATGTATCCACATTGCTACCAATCAGACAGAACTCTGTCAGTCAGAGGTAGACTAAATATTTACATTTATATCTAGTTTAATTTTTTACAATCATGACTAAGGAAAATAAGAGGCAAATTGTATTCTAGAAATTGTACGATGTCTCCAGTAGTTAAAGAAATTAAAACAAGAATATAATTTGGTGTCAGGTTATCAGATTTTGCTTTGTCTTGATGAATAACATTTTTAAGGAAATGGAGAAACTGTTTTTGTGCCCAATCGGTAAGTAGGTAAATTCTCACAATGGAATTGGTTTGGGGAAAGCACTTTAGTAAATCAGATTAATAAACTCAAAATATTTATACCCTTTGACCCACTAATTCTACTTCTGGGATTCTATCATAAGGAAATAATTTTAAGTACAGAAGCAGCTTTATAAACAAAGTTGGTCATAGCAATAGTCTTTATAATAATTGTAAATTGGGACCAGGTGCAGTGGCTGAAGCCTGTAATCCCAGCACTTTGAGAGGCTGAGGTGAGAAAATTGCCTAAACCCACAGGTTTGAGACCAGCCCTGGCAACTTGGCGAGACCTCAACTCTACAATAAATTAAAAAATTAGCTGGGTGTGGTGGTGCATGCCTGTGGTTCCAGCTACTTGGAAGGCTGAGGCGGAAGGATCACCTGAGCCCAACAGGTCAGGGCTGCAGTGGCCGTGAGTGTGCCACTGCACTCCAGCCTGGGCGACAGAGTGAGACTCTGACTCAAAAATATGATAAGAATAATAATTGTAAATTGGAAACCACAAGTCTGTCAGTCAATAGAAGACTGTTAAGGCAAATTATGGTACACCCTTGCCATTAAAAAGCACTTAGAAAACAAGACACAAAATGGAATATATATTTTTAAGATCACTTTTTTTAGTATGTAAAGATGTAGTAACACATAAAAATGTTCATGCCAGGAAAAAACAGGCTAAAATATTAGTAATGTTTTTCTCTTGGTGGGTGAAGGAATGACTTTTCTATTTTTCCTTCTTTATGTCTTTTTGTACTTTCCCAATTCTTACAATAAAAACTTTGTTTTCAAGTGGCCTGAGGGAAACACCTTGGCTGTGAGCAGGTGGACAGATGACCTGTACATTTCTTCCATGTCCTGTCATTGCAGAGGCGTCACTGGCAGTGGATCGATGGGGCCACATTTCTGTACAGAGCCTGGTCTGGAAGGTCCACGGGTGGAAACAAGCACTGTGCTGAGATGAGCTCCAGTAAAAGTAAGTTCTAGTGTGCCACCCCTCACGGCTTCCAACTCACAGCAACCTCTCTTCACTCAGGAAGAGCATTCATGGATGTGGGGGTCCTCCCAGCCCTTCCCAGTACACACCAGCAACTCTTTCCTCCTGCAGGACAATGGCCTTACCACACAATGGCCTGGCAACCTTCGGTCCTTTGTGGTCACTTTACTGTCTTTGCCATATCAATGCACCTGGCATGTGGTTATTTACTCAATCTTTTCTTTAAATCTACTCATTGTCTTTTCTTAAATACACTTATTTTTAAAATCATATCATATATATGAGGTGGGCATCAGTCACATTTTGGGAATCCCAGACCGCAGGGAGTAAATACGTGTGGTGAAATCAGATGAATTCCTTCTGATTTCTTTAAAAGTCAGGTTCCCAAGCTGGGTGCGATGGCTCATGCCTGTAATCCCAGGACTTTGGAAGGCGGAGGCAAGAGGATCGCCTGAGCCCATGGGTTCAAGACCAGCTTGGGCAACATGGCAAGACCTCGTCTCTACAACACATCAAAAAATTAACCGGGCATGGTGGCACATGCTTGTAGTTTCAGCTACTTGGAAGGCTGAGGCAGAAGGATCGTCTGAGCCCAGCAGGTCGAGGCTGCAGTGACTGTGAGCGTGCCACTGCACTCCAGTCTGGACGACAGAATGAAACACCGACTCAAAAAAAAAAACCAGTCAGGTTCCTGGCCAGGCGTGGTAGCTCAAGCCTATAATCCCAGCACTTTGGAAGACTGGGGTGGGAGGTGTTGGAGACCAGCCCGAGCAACATAGTGAGACCTTGTCTCTACAAAAATATCAAAAAACTAACCGGTCACAGCGGCACACACCTATAGTCCCACCTGCACAGGAGGCTGAGGCAGAAGGATCGCCTGAGCCCAGGAAGTTGAGGCTGTGGTGAGCTGTGATCATGCCACTGTACTCCAGCCTGGGCAGCAGAGTGAGATCCTGACTCAAAAAAATATCAGATTGCCCCCATGAACCCTGGAAACCCAGTCTTTGCCTGGATTCCTCCCTCTTGTCTGTTTCCCTGAGTCCTGTCCCCAGAACGTGGTGGCCAGAAACCCATGTGCCGGCTGCACACAGTCCTTTCCCTGGCCTGCTTTTCCTTCTTTGCTCTTAATGCTAATGAGTTCAGGTTTTCAACCTTGGTGCTGATGACATTTTGACCTGAATGATTCTTTGTTGTGGGGACTGTCTTGTACATTATAGGAGGCTTAGCAGCATTCCTGGTCTATTCAGTAGATGCCAGTACCACCACCCCTCCAAGGCTGTGACAGCCAAAAATATCTCCAGACAATACCAAATATCCCCTAATGGGGGCAAATTCACCCCCTGTTGAGACCCACAGCTAATGAGTGACATGGAAGGTTTCAGCCGAACACAGAATTCAGCAAGAACACAGAATATCTAAGATGAAAAGGATTCTTGATGCCAAAGGTCGTATATTTGAGAACATCCCAGTGGGTCTAGTAGGCCTTAAAGGGGTACCTGGACCTTCCTGCTAGCCCAGAAGTGGTTCCTGTAGGGGCCTGGCCTGAGGACTCAGGTACCGGGCTAGGGTAAAGAGGGACCCAGCTTGAACAAACTACTGCTGCTGTTCAAGGTAGAAGTCAGCTCAGATGGAAGGAACACAACTAAGACCACTAGATAGAAGCTACAAAAATGTGGATTTTTATCTAAATCCAGGAAGAAATTTTGAACAGTTAGCACTGTTTAAACACATAATAGGCTATCCTTATTATGAGCGAGAAACCCACCACTAGAGGTAACCAAGCAAAAGGTGAGCATTGTTGTCTTTATCCTAGCTGAAGCATTAGAAGTGTTAGAAGATAGCTGGGCATTGTGGCACGTGCCTGTAGTTCCAACTCCTTGGGAGGCTGAGGTGAGTGGATGGCCTGAGCCCGCGGGTTCGAGACCCGCCTGGGCAACTTGGCGAGCCCTCATCTCTACAATAAATCAAAAAATCAGCCGGGCGTGGTAGCGCATGCCTGTAATTCCGGTTATTCGGAAGGCTGAGGCAGAAGGATGGCCGGAGCCCAGCGGGTCGAGGCTGCAGTGACCGGGAGCGGCCACTGCACTCCAGTCTGGGCGACAGAGTGAGACTCCAACTCAAAAAAAAAAAAAAAAAAAGGAAGGCTGAGGCAGAAGGATCACCTGAGACCAGTAAAATCCAGAGAAGTATCTTTTTCCACTCTCCTCCCCCTCCTAGGAAGTCGAGGCTGCAGTGGCCATGAGCATGCCACTGCACTCCAGCCTGGGTGACAGAGTGAGACTTCAACTCAAAGAAACAAAAAGATAAAAGTGTTAGAAGAGAGACTCGATGGCACAAAAGAATCAAAAGAAGGATATAGTTAAAAATACAAATACTGGCCAGGTGGCACGGTGGTTCACACCTGTCATCCTAGCACTTTGGGAGGCCAAGGCAGGAGGATCGCTTGAGGCCAGGAGCCTGAGACCAGGAATTCTCTTTTCATAGCTCCCACATGAGAATCTCAGGGCTGGATGCAAGACCAGCTTTTGGGAGGCAGTAGACCAAATGTCTCCCACTGTCCCTCCCGTCCCCAGGAATCTGAGATTCTCATTAGACAAAGTTCTCAAACAAAAATCAGTCCTTTCCCTGTTAGTCGTGATCCCATCAACAAGGGTCAGCAGTGAGGTTGCCTGTGTTATACCACTGTTCTCTTAAGCACACCACCTCTTTGCATTTTCTTTTTTATCACTCTTAGCCCAGCTCGTGGCTGTCAGAATACAGGTTCTCAGAACAGAAGAGCGCAAGGAATGAAGCGAGGGTTAAAGAAAAACTGGTGGCAGGCAGAATTTAAAAGCATGTCCTCTCTGCCCATCAATGCCATTTTTTGTTTGTAAAAGGGATTTTGCCCCAGAATCAGTTTCTATTTTTAAATTCAAAAGGTATCATATTAATGTTACAACACACAGCCACACACACATTCTCTTTCTCTCTCGGTGACAGGACTTGTTCCTCTTTTGTGTCTACTTAGAAAAGAACTGCAGGAAGTTTTATTCGGCATGTCCTTCTGTGGTCCTTTCTGACTTTCCCTTTTTTTTTTTTTGAGTTGGAGTCTCCCTCTGTTGCCCAGACTGGAGTGCAGTGGCCGGGAGCGGCCTTGACCTGCTGGGCTCGACCTGCTGGGCAGGCCTCGACCTGCTGGGCTCCGGCCATCCTTCCGCCTCAGCCTTCCGAATAGCTGGAATTACAGGCATGCACTACCACACCCAGCTAATTTTTTTATTTATTGTAGAGATGAGGTCTCGCCAAGTTGCCCAGGCGGGTCTCGAACTCGCGGGCTCAGGCAATCCACTCACCTCAGCCTCCCAAGGTGACTTTCCCTTTTATATCACAATGTACCTATTCTGTGATTCTCTGGAAAATTGCAGCTCACAGCGTTTCCTGACTCATCTATGGGTTCACTTTGAAACAGTTAATAATGATAACAAGGGTTGTGTTATCGTTTGAAAATAAATTTTGTGGCCGGGCTCGGTGGCTCAGCCTGTAATCCCACGCTTTGGGAGACCGAGGTGAATGAATTGCCTGAACCCATGGGTTCGAGACCTCACCTCTACAATAAATTAAAAAATTAGCCGGGCATGGTAGCGCACTCCTGTAGTTCCAGCTACTTGGAAGGCTGAGGTGGAAGGATCGTCTGATCCCGGCTGGTCGAGGCTGCGGTGGCCGGGAGCGGCCACTGCACTCCAGTATGGGTGACAGAGTGAGACTCCAACTCAAAAAAAAAGAAAAGAAAAGAAAAGAAATTTCATATTCAGTATAGTTTGTGGTCAGGAGCACGAGGTTCTGCGTTCTGGATGCCCCAGGTAGAATTCCAGGTTTTCCACTTAACCGGGCTGTGTGATCCTGTGCAGATTTCTTACTTCTCTGTGCCTCAAATACCTCTCTATGAAAAGAGGGAAATAATAGTACTAATTATTTACTCCACGTGACGTGCGTATCACTATGCAGGCGAGGCCCGTGGACCCCACATCCTGGAGAAGAGAGGCATGGTCTCTCACACGCCCTTCCCGGACTTAGCCTTCTGGTGTTGAGGAGGGGGGAGAGTGAAAACAGACCCTTCTCTGGATCAGGGTGTGTGGGTGAGCTTGCTGTGCTGTCCTTGGTTGTATGAAGCGGCTCTCCTTGATGACCCATATGCTCAATGGTGGCAACCTCCAAGGGACCCCCAACGAGACACTCCTCCTCAGGCAGGGTCCTAACCAGTGGTGCTCCCAGACCAGACTCACGCAGCACTTGGAGCAGATTCCTGGCCCGTGGCTTTGTGTCACGTTGCCTTTGCCCCACTCTGTGAAAGTGCTCAGCAAACTTACAGTCCTCTTTCATGGACACTCTGTGCCCCTCGTGCTGGCATGGGCAGGACCCACCCTCTAGGCTTCCTGAGAACTAGGAGTGGGAGGGGGCGCACCTCACCCCGTCCTCTCCCCAGAACTCGCAGCCACCCAGCACCCGCTGATCAGCAGGTCAGGGCCCAAGCAGACACCTGACCAGGGAATGACTCCTCACTTGCTGCAGTTGTCAGGATGACCCGTGATACCAAGGAGTCTGGTCTCTGGGAGGGAAATAGTTGAACCTCCCTTCAGAAATACTCCAGTCTTGTCTGGGCATGGTGGTACACACCTGCAATCCCAGCACTTTGGGAGGCCGAGGCGGGAGGATTGCTTGAGTCAAGGAGTTTGAGACCAGCTTAGGCAACATAGCAAGACCTCATCTCTACCAAAAAAGAATGTAGCCAGGCGTGGTGGTGCATGCCTGGAGTCCCAGCTACTCGGAAGGCTGAAGTGGAAGGATCGCCTGAGCCCCGGAGGTTGAGGCTGGGGTGAGCTGTGATCCTGACACTGCATTCCAGCCTGGGCAACAGAGTGAGACTCCGATGTTTAAAAAAAACGTGTCCAGTCCTTCAAAAGCCCACCTCTTCCTTGTTCTCGGTCCTTTTTGTAAGTGGATGGCCTGCTGGGACATGACTGGCTTCTGCAGCTTTCTGTTCTTTGAACTTTGAACAGGAGCTTCCTGGGGCCTCAGCGTTCTCACTGTATCATGTGTCCAGCACTAAAGAGCCCCTTGTTTTCAGCTGATTCATGTCAAGCCTGGCCTTTTCTCGAAAACAGTGCTGGAGTGGAGCTTCTGCCGTAGTGTGTGACGTTTCAATTGTTTTTCTTTCTGTGAGCAAAGTTAGCGTCTGCATTTGGATTGATGCTCCAGGGAAACAAAGGTAACGGGATGTATAGAAAGGGTCTTTACTTGGGGGAATTGGCTCATGCAGTTGTGGGAACTGGCAGGTCTGAAATCTGCAGAGCTGGAAATTCCTGCCAGAGTCGAGTTGCAGGCTTGAGTCCCAAGGCAGCCTGGAGGCAGACTCGTTTCCTCTTTGGGAGCCCTCAGTCTTTTAAGGCCTTCAACCGACTGGGCGAGTCCCACCCCGCGATGAAAGGCAGCATGCTTTACCCAACGTCCACTGACATGAACGGCAATCGCGTCTCCAAAAGGCCTTCGCAGCGAGCAGACGGGCACCGTCGCCCAGCCAGGTTAATTCATAAGGCCTACCATCACACCACCTTATCTGTGGCTCAGAGCAAAGCACCCAGTAACTCTGGGAAGCTCAGTACAACACCGGAGGGATTTAAGTGTCTGTCCTTGTCTTACAGACTTTTTAGCTTGGAGCAACAACGAGTGCAACAAGCGCCAACATTTCCTGTGCAAGTACTGACCGTAGAGCAAGAATCAAGATCCTGCCGCCCTTGCACAATCCCTTTCCGCTTCCTTCTCTGCCAAGATGGCAAAATCTGACCATTGTCTCAGAGAGCAAACCTGGCAACCCGGAGGGATGAGGCCCCGATCGCACTGACTCCTTCAGCTGAGAGACAGAGACTGCAGCACTGGAACAGCAGCAGCTTCTAACTCTCAATGTTCACCCTACAGTCCTTTCCCATAGTACTCTCTCCCCTCCGTCCCTCTCGCCGTCTTTCTTGAGCAGCCTAGGAGAAAGCATCTCCAACCAACGAAACCACTGCGTCTTTGGCCATGCGGGGTAAGGGTTTGAAGACAGGAGGAAGGAGGAAGAAACTCCAGGCCAGCCTCCAGCCCCGTCCGTGTCTGCAGCCCTCCGTCCTCTCTCCAGTGCCCACGGCTTCTCCCTCAGCCACCTGCTCATTTTGTCTTTGGTCAGGGAAACATTGACCAGCACAGACCCTCCTGGGCTCATGTGGACCAAACATGCTTCTAATAAACAGCTGTAGACACAGGCAGTTTCTGCGTTCCAATTCAGTAGTGGTGAAAGCAGAGAGGCGAGCTGCTACTCAGAAATACACCCAAGCTCCCTCGCCTCCTTCCCCGGGTCTCTGCCCCGCCCTCCCCAGCAGTAGCGCTGGTTGGAGTAGAGGAGTGACGTGCCTGCCCAACTCTGAGCAGGGTTGAGGGAGCGGGTTTTGTTTAACTGTGAGCACTGCTTGGCTTATGAGGGAAGATGGCAGCTGCCGCGGGTGCAGTGGAGTTGACCTGGCCCCTGGCTGCACATCTGCCATCCCCTTGCTTCCCCGCCACTAGCCATCTGTGTGACCTTGCACAGTTCTCTTTGTCCTGTGAGGTTTGGGATTCCTTATGGGGTGGTTGCTCCAATCATGAGGATAACTTTGCCCTCAAACAGATGTGTGACCCCTTGGCTCGCAAATCTGCAGGGCAGTGTGAGAAGAAACAATACAGACTAGACGATGACAGTTGTGGCAGTGTTATGACCACATTCACATTCCAGAGCGGGAAATACTGCCAGAAAGAAGAGGCCATGTGGAGCGGCCATGCACTTCAGGCCGTGCAGATGGCTCCTTGCTTCCTCCGTGTTGTGCTGCCCACTGGCCAACACACAAAGCCGTATCCCTAGTCTGAGAACCTCATACCCCAACCTTGACCTTAGCAGGCCAAGACCAGCTGTCGAGTGCTGGCGGAAAGAAGACACAACGAAGAAAGGGAAAACGGAAGAGATGGCGCCTTGGCCCTGACCACTTCTCCCACTTGGCTCTCCTTTCTTTTCTTCTTCTTTCCTTCTGTTACACCCTTACCACTCTTTTGGTGGTCAGAGGGGAAAATATCAGAAACAACGTATCACTCCTCTCAAGCATTAAAAAGGACTGTCGGCCCGAAAGATCCATCTCTTCATTTCAGACAAGATGACAGGCAGATGGAAGACAGTCCTTCTTTGGAATCACTTCCTTAGCGTCAGCAAAATAGTGACCACCAATCCCAGTAGGGTTGTGGACAAGTCTCTGTGAAGGACGCAAACAAAAGCCTCAGATTCCATGGTAAAGATAAAGGATAAATTGGGAACACCAGACCAACAGGAGCCATGTAGAACCACGTTGAAATAAGTGCCCAATTCTGCAGCATCACCTGTGGGAACCAAAGAAACAAGGATGAAATATCCCAAAAAGGTGGAGAGTCCCAGTTTTTTCTGACTATGGCACATATGAGAGAGAAGAGAGATAAGCTTTCACCCCTCTTATTAGAAAGGCGGGACTAGACCGTGGTTAACTCTAGAACTGTGAGATTCTTTTTCATTTGTGCTTTTAAAATTGTAGTAATCTTTAATAATTCACTAAGTAGGCATACCACCCAACAAATCTTTATCGAGTACATGGTATGTGCCAAGAACTCATTTTAGGAACTGGGAATCCGTCAGTGACCAAAACAGATCAAAGCCCTTGCCATCATAGGGCCTACGTTTCAGATGGAGGTAGACAGACCATAAACGGAATAAGTATAGAATGTCATCTGAGACCATGACAAGTGCCCTGGTGAAAACATAAAACCAGAAAGGGGCATAGGAAACATAAGGTCGAGTATGTGTGGAATAGTTTGGGTGCTTTTAATTTAATTTTATTTTGTTTTGATCACAACTGACAGCCAGACCATCTCAAACAAAAAAGGAGATTCATTGGCCTATGTTGCTTCACGAACTGTAAGGAGATTTGAGATACAGGTATCACTTGACCAACTCAGCAAAGTTATGGGTAGAGTTTTCTCTCTTCATTTATTTGGCCATTTTTGCTGGGGATTAGCTTCACTATCAGCCCCCATCTAGTCACAAGATGGCTGTGGCAGCTCAGAGCAGAAGTCCACAGCCCTCAAGCAAGAGCCTCCAAATTAATCCTCATTGACCAAGAATGGCCTGGCATGGCTTCTGTAGTCATTCTCCAACCACTGTGGCCAGGAGGGTGGAGGATTAACTTAACAAAGTTATGTTACATATAACTCCTCTAGAGTCTGAGGGTTTACTCAGCTTCACCTGAACAACAGGACCACTGCTAGCCCATATGGTGCCTTGTAGAAACTGATTTGAAAAAAAAAAAAAGATGCCCCTTTTTTCATGGGAAAGCACAGCCCCATGGGCTCACAGGACCAAAGTAGAGTGGATTTTAGCCCCTACGTGCCACCTTATCTGTGTACTCTTGTGCAGTACACAGACTACACAGTCCTGTTTGGTGGCCTTACTGACATGCATGGGTTGACAGTGGGGACAGGGTGGTTCTCACCCAAGGGCCAAGGGCCATACTTTGGGAAATTCTATCCTAAGGCCTTACTGCAAGACTTTAGAGTAAGTAGTCTGAAATGAAACTGGAGAAGCACAAAATGTCAGAAAGTGAAAATTCGGGTATTGTTTTCTGGGACGTGTCCATTTATGTAAAACTCCTGCCATGGTCTGTGGTGGCTTATTGTACTGGGAAGAGCAAAGTGTTAGGAGTTAAACCTTTCTAAGTCTGTTTGATCTGCCTCAAACTAGCTGTGTAACATTGTGCTTAGAGCATCTGTGTCTCTGTTTCCTTTTCTCATGGATTTAAGGATTAAATTAGTTAAGACATGTGAAGAGTTTGGAATGGGGCCTGGCATAAGTGATTAACAAATGTTTTGCCACCATTTTAAATCTTTGTGATCCTGAACATATGTCTCTCTTCTAAACCACAGTTTACTTATCTATAAAGTGAGGGCTTTGCTGGGCATGGTGGCTCAAACCTGAATCCCAACACTTTGGGAAGCGGAGGCAAAAGGATTGGCTGAGCTCAGGGGTTTGAGACCAGCCTGAGCAACACGGCGAGACCTCGTCTCTACAATAAATCAAAAAATTAGCTGGGTGTGGTGGCACATGCCTGTGGATCCAGCTACTTGGAAGGCTGAGTAGGAAGGATTGCCCGAGACCAGCAGGTCAAGGTTGCGGAGGTTGTGAGCGTGTCACTGCCCTCCAGCCTGGCCGACAGAGACTCCAACTCAGTCAGTCATCAGTCAATAACATGAGGACCTTAAACCGTGCTTCCAGGGTCTGGTTGGATGTGAATAAATGAGATGGTCTGGTGTGGGACAATTAAAACTGGGAAACCAGCATACAAATTAATGTCTTTTAACTATGGGTGAGCCAAACATAGCAGGTCTGTTGACCTTTGCCCACAGGAGCCAGTTAACAACTCCGGAATGAGCAACAACCCCTTCCAGCTTCAACATTCTCTTGTTCTGTTTGTATCTGGATTATACAGTTCCCTAAGTCAGGAGTCAGTCTCTAAAGTCCCGGGGAACTTTTTTCAAAAGTAACAGGGACGTAAAATAAAAGAAAATGCACAATAATGATGTCTCAGGTATGCGTCCTGCTTGAGGACAGTCATTCCAGGCTCTGCTGCAATCAAGAGACAGACAGTGTAGACATATAAATAGGTCATGAAGGAGAAGTTTATGACCAACCCTGCCCTGCAGTCCAAGGGCCCCAGAAAGGCAGCCGGAAAAGAAGCTTATGGACAAAGTGGGACAAAAAACAATCTGCCTGGATTGGGGAGAATAATCTTGAATTTAAACCTTTTTAAGGTTCTAGAATATAGTACTACATCATAGTAAAAACATAGTAAATAGTAAAAAGTTGATGATTGACTATGTCTAAATTTAAAGCTACTATTCCTTTAAAAAAATTATCAGGATATAATTAGGACAATGAACAGGTCTAGAATTTGATAACCCAGAAGGATATATTATAGACGATGTGTGGATTTTAATTGAACACAACATTTTTTTTCTACATTACTAATTAAAATGGAATCATCACAATACCTGTGAATAGATATTGCAAAAGTAAAAGGGAGATTAACATGGAAAAAAAAAAAACAGATAAACACCCCAATAAGAACCACTCGAGGGAACAAAGGGGGGAGATCAGAAAAATTATTTTCCATTTTTCAAACAAGTTACAGATTTCATGATATCTACTCCATGCTCCACTCCCAACAAGAGCGCCAGGAAGAAATAATAAGAGGATTTGCCAGAAATCCAGAAAGAAAAAGAAAGAAAGAAATTAGCATTAAGATGAAAAATAGAGTAGAAATAATTAAAGGAAGAAAAAAATTACTAAAAAAACCATGAGACCTGATGAATTAGCTTGAGGAAATCACACAAAGAAAAGGAAAATGCCTTTTTTTTTTTTGAGTTGGAGTCTCACTCTGTCACCCAGACTGGAGACGTCAACTATATTTTAGTGATTAGAGAAAAGATAATAGATATGGAACCCATAAAAGAAAACACATAAGGGATTTTTCTTCCTAGAGAAGAGAACTGAACATATAGAACAGGAAAAAGAAAAGCAAAGGTAAAAATAAGAAAATTTCCTTGAATGAAAGACCAGAATTTGCTCATTGAAATGGCTCATATGTTCCTGGAAAAGTTAATTTAAAATGATAAGCACCAAGACATACCCTGTCTTGGTTTCTGAACTCCATAGGTAAAGATTCTATAGGGTGCACAGGTAAAAATAAAGTCAAATACATGGGAT